CCTTCACTGACCTTGGGTATTATATAAATAAGGAATAGCTTTAGAGGGAAAGGACAATGGAGTGGAGCGATAGGATAATAAAACCTAAATGTCCAGAATATTGGGTTATCTCACTACTGGGAGACCTTCTGTATTGTTCTCCCCAAAAGCCCTACTCCAGAATATTCTTCATGTTGAGTTTCACCATCAGTTTCTTCCTGGACCATCCCCCATGATTGTGATATGGGAAAATGGACAAATGTGCAGTGATTTCACCATGATTATTTATGTTTTGATGATTTTGTAAAAAATGTTTTCTTGCTAATCATTGGCCTTGTTTGTTGTATTAGATATAAGAACACTAAAGTAAAGCAATATGACTGTCAAGAGTGTTGAGAAATATTTATAATCCCTTCAGTAGAGCAGTAGAGGCTGGAAGATATCAATTCTTGCCCTACATGGCATTCAGTCAAGATTCTACTTCAAGTTCAGAAGCTAAAGATGGAGATTCATGGCATGGTGCCTGGCTAGCATGTATAAGCCTATACCTTTAGTCACCAACACATCAAATTTTCTTAATTTTTAAAGAGACTCTATCTAATAATCAAGTCTCCTTTCAGATTTGTGTTTCTCTGACTCAGCCACCAGACCACATGATTATAATCATGTATTTTTGTGTATTGATGCGGTGACATGAAAGATGTAATGCACCTGCATTTTTGTTCTAGTTACTGCACAGAAATAATGATAGCATGAGCAACTTATCATTGCCTTTTTTCCAAGAGTGATGGAAAAGATATACTGCCTCAATTTCTATGTTAACTCTTAGGTTCTATTGACAGTTCTCATAAAGTTAAGGGAAATCACTGCTGATCCCAATTTTCTTAGACATTAATTGGGAAAGGATGCTGATTGGTGGTGGTGCACGCTTTTAATACCAGCACTCGGGAGGCAGAGGTAGGCAGATCTCTGTGAGTTCAAGGTCAGCCTGGTCTACAAGGTGAGTTCCAGGAAAAGCACAAAGCTACACAGAGAAACCCTATTTTGAAAAAAAAATAGGAAAGGATATCATGTTTATCCCTGAATTTTTTCAAAACACACCATCTCTGATTGCTTGTGTGATTTGGATTTATTTTGTGTTATGCCTCATTGAGTAGCAAATAACAGAATTTCTTTCATGTTTCTGCATTCAGTTGGTAAGAGTTTTGCTGATAAAATCTCTTTGGTATTTTTAAGTCACATTTCTTTTTTTTAATTTTATTTTACAATATAATTTAGTTCTACATATCAGCCACGGATTCTCTTGTTCTCCCCCTTCCCTTCCCCCCAAGGCCACCCCTCATT